ACCGAACAGGAGACCATTTTCTGCCTCTGATCATCCGAGTAGGCCAGCAAAGATGCCAGCCTCCAATCCTTACTGTTGTCTAATGCCGTGCAATCACATTTGTAGAACTTTCCACGGCACTTGGCTCCAAAGGGAAACATGCAACAATTCTCCAAAGTACCCTAGGTGTGCGCGCTAACCCGCTAAGACAGGCCGAGGGGGCCTGAGCTCCAGGAGCGTGCTAGAGACGCACAGGAGGCCCCCGCTTCTGACTCTTGATTTCAACTCAGGTCGTGACCTCACGGCTTGTGAGTTCGAACCCCACGTCAGGCCCTGCGCTGACAGTGCAGAGCCTGCTTGGGATTCTCTCTCCTTCTCTCTTTGGCCCTCCCCTGCTTGCGTGCTCTCTTTCTCTCTCTCTCAAGATAGATAAATAAACACACATTAAAACGATGTCCTTGCAGAGATTATGTATTAGAAGATGCAAGGCTACGTTCAGACGGACAAACTGTCATATTGAAGGTTAGCAGAGACAGGACTTCACATGAACAGACACACACGTAAGGGGGAGGGCTTCACCAAAGATCAAAGAAGAGAAACTCAGAGAAGCACTCCATGTAGGCCAAAGTTTATCTGCAGGGGATAAAGTACGGGGAAAACTTTAGAAATCACGTGTTTTCAATGTGAATGGCTATGTCCACTGACCACATTAAGATGGAGGGGAAGACACTTCCTCAACCCTTTACATATATTTTCTCCCTTAATCTCATTTAATCTAGCCAAATCCATTTTCCTATTTTTAGGCTCAGCAGGCTCCTCTAACAACAGGCCCATCAGGCAGTACTTATTACCTAAGATGTGAACGGAAGGTCCGATAAAAGTTACCCTAGGAGGCAAGAGTCAGTAACTGAAGGCCGTGTGGAGATACGAGAGAACGCCGTTAGCCTGCTCCCAGGGTGGAGTGCTGTCTCCCTGGGACTTACAGGGTCCCCGAGCCAAAGGGGCTGCTGAAATCACTCTTCACCAGGAGGTGAGGATGCTCAGAAAGCCCTCCAGTGAACTTGAACTCCAGTTGTGTTCTCTGTTCCCGAAGGAGCATCACTCATTTTAGTCTGACTCTTTATAATTAGAGTAGATTTCCTTCGGGGAGTATTATTTGCTTTTTCAAGTAAACTGGCAATGAGGGGTTTGTTAGTGTCTTTGCAAAGCCTGCTCACGGGTTGCAGACTTTCTTTGCCGAGAAAGCGAGCCCCGGGAGTACCTGTCACCAGGGTGCTGGTCCCCGGGCCGGGCTTTCCTCAGTTGAGGACAGCCAAGAGAGCATACGATCCCCCCGAAACACGGGTCAGCAACCACAGCCTTCGGGCCAGAATATCTGTGTGTGTAAATAAAGTTTTTTAAAAAACATTTTTTTTTTTTTAACGTTTATTTATTTTTGAGACAGA